ATTGTGTCAATAAGCACATGCAAACAAAACTTAAAGAAGGGATCAAATGTGTGCCACCAACACTCCAACGGTATAAAAAAAACAAAACAAAACAAAACACATCATCACGGCTAATTCTGTTTTCCATTAATTTGAACTTCATTCCCTTGATCTTTAAATATGATCATTCCTTAAATGTGGTAGAGGAAATAATAGGGTAAGGGACTTAGGGTAAAGGAAAGGGTATAGATTAGGGAAAATAATATTGTATAGCCGCTTTCAAAATAGTAGCGGAATATATATACATTCTGTATGTTATATTAATCTACACAAATAGGTAATTACTCATTTAACAAGTGTTTACAGTCTAGGGGTGTGCATTCGATTTATCCGATTCGATTTTCGACCCTTATCGATAATTACTTATCAATTATCAATTTGTACATATGCTTATTGTTATCGTTTCAATAAGGTTTCGATTTTTTCGATTTCGGTTTCGATAACAAATAATCGATTCGATTTATCGATAAACCGATTCGAATGCACACCCCTAATAATAGAGCATAATCCATGTAGAGATACCTTTGCATAAGTTCTGCATACATGCCAGTAGCAGCATCTGCGTTGTTCAATTAAAACATCAAAATGTGACACAGATCGTGAAAACATTATGAGAAACTTGCAAAATATGGAAGGATTGAAACATCAAAATGCTAGAGGTTTCTTACGAGCACACTGAGATGCAATTTTTCCTTGTGCCATTTTCAGGTCTTGTCTGACAACTAAAACCTGCCATTAAATTTCTCAAGGTCAGGAAATAGCTTTTTGTAGAATCCATCCAACCTTGAGACAATCAAGTATATACTATCACTATATATGTTACATTGATGACAAGCATCCAGTATCAACTTCTTTTAACCTTTTGATTGTTTTTTTTATGTGTGTGTGTGAGAGAGAGAAAGAGAGAGAGAGAAGATCAAGTATCAAACTGTTCAATATGCAATATAGTCTCTTTTTTGTTTAAAGAATACAGTACCAACACACACAAATTAAAGGGAAAAGAAAACTGGATTCCAGCATTTTCAAGATAAAGAAACACAAAATACGGAGTATACAAAGAGTTCCTCAGTTTCCGCCTTTTGCTTAGGGAAACTAAGTTCATGAATGCCAATTGCCTTTGCGCCACTCATCTCTCACTTCCACTAGTTGGTAGCCAAAATCACATGTCAAAAGAAGTAAGAAAAAGCAACACTAGGTAGGAGTTAAATTGTGTTCAATTTACTTTCTAGGCTAAGTGTTTGATGAAGATGCCAATTTTCAACCCCTCAAAAATGTACATGCTCCCTATTAATTTTCCAAGCAGCCTAAGCAACAACTTTGATACTAAAGGAAGCATGTCTAGAGTTAGGCATCACGAAACAAAGATTCATCCACCTCGGCAACAGTCAATAAGGCAACAAATTTTTATAGGGGCATCTAATAATTAACATATCTCCAGAGCCTGGAAATTCACTGTTCTAGAAAGAATTCACGAGCAACGCTTTTGCCTGAATATTTATATCCTAGCCAAAAGTCAATTAATACTACAATACAGTGAAACAACATTTCAATTACTAAGGGATTTCCACCTACATGTATCACCCAACAGTTATTACATATCTAGTTAGCTTTTGCATTATCAGAGCCAAAGCAAGAGTTAACAGAATATGTTAAAAAAGTTACAAATTTTGGAAATAAATACTACTTTTCCTTTAGGGGAGTGACTAATCCTCTTAAAAACTAATTTCTAATCAATCTTTCCATCTGCCTATTTTTTTTTATCCACTTTGAATTCCCTTGTTTTACTAATATTTCTCTTTGTCCTTTCAGTATAAGTCATATTACAAACCCCAAAGAATTATCAAAAAATGTACAGATAGAAGTGAAAAATACCCTCCACCTTAAATAAAGAAACAAAATAATACCAAAATTTAACTGAAAAGAAGAATGAATAAAAGCAAACCATTTTGAGGTCTTCATCATCAGGTTTAGGTGGGGCCAAAATCTTTTCAGGTTGATTTCTGCTCAACAAATGACTTGTCTTCTTCAAAGTGTTACTACTACTTTTGGAAGGCTTAGACAAATCCAACAACAATCCAAGAATGAAACCAATTACTATACCCGGTATAAAATTCTCAGCCTTGAAACTTGCTCCTAACCATTCTTTTTCCTCCTTCTCCTGCTTCCATTGCCATTCTTTTTTTAGTATTACCAAAACAAGCAAAAGAAAACGAGCTACTGAAGATACTCATATACCCAAAAAAAAAAGATAGTACTAGTTTTTTTACCTTCTTGGAAGGGTGGGAAGAGCTGTTGAAGATACGCATTGAGCTTTGGTTGTTTGAGAGGAGAAAAAAGAGAGGATGAGTGATAAAGTGATGGGGCTCAGAAATTTTACTGGAGCAGTAGCATATGAATGCATAAAACGGCGTCGTAGACAGATTATTGATTGTATTTTTTCCTTAATTTGTTTTTGTTTTCTTTTCATATTTTTTTTTTCCTTTGGCAACCAATTTTCTCCAACCATATTATTCAAGAAATCTGGGAAAAAACAGAGCTTGAACGAATGGGCCTTTGGGCCTTTGCTGCTTTGCTCCAAGATTGGGATGATTTTCAGCGAAAATAGCCCGGGCTAACCAATTTTCGGACTGATAATTGAAAAATAGCCAACATTTACAAAGTCATTAAAAAATAGCCACTATTTTGCTGCAACACGGAGAGTTACAGCATAATATACTGGAGATTGGTGCACTTGTATAAGAACTTCCAGCATATTATGCTGGAACTCCAACACACGGGAAGTTCCAGCATAATATACTGGAGATTGGAGCACATGTGTATGAACCTCCAGCATATTATGCTGAACTGGCACTCCAGTATATTATGCTGGAAGTCCAGTATATTATGCTGGAATATTTTTCGGATTTTGAATAGTATTTTCGTTTAGATTTATCTTTTACATGAAAAGTGGCTGAATTTTGTTTACTTTTGAAGCTGTAGCTATTTTAATTACCACTTGTAAATCTGGCTAATTTTTGAATTTCAACGCATATATCCACTTTTAACAAGCGTTTGGCCATAGATCCCAAATTTATTTTGAAAAATCTGATTTGGGTGAAGTTTGGTTTGAAGATGAAAATGTGTTTGGACATACGTTTTCAAAACATATTTTCCAACTTTATTTTGGAAAAACATGTATATAATTCCCAAGTTTTGGGATTTTGGCCCAAAATCAGCTCATTTGAGTTGAGATTTGGGATTTGGCCAAAATATGGGCAAAATTTATGGCCAAACATGAGTTTTGAAAATAAATCCCAAATTTATTTTGGCAAAATTCATGGCCAAACGGGGCCTTAAATTATGGATGTTTTTTGAAATATAATCAGCCTTTGTAAAATAATTAATAAATGGTCATAATCTATATACTATATTAAAAGCACGAAGGCCCTTACCGAAATGTCATTCGTCTTTTTTATCCTTTAAAAAATGAAGTTGTCACCAAATAAAATAGTCATTTAATTGTTCTCCTAATATTTACTTCTTTGAAATCGACTAAAATTTTTGTTATTAAATTATTTTCCATTTGAACTAGGTAGGAAATCCTAAAATTTAAGACTTTAAAGTCAATTAAAATTTACCTAACTTAAATGTTTTCCTCATTAAACTATATGTTTTACATAATTATAATTCTTACATGTTACTTTCATGGACATATATTCTGTGAGAAAAAAGAGTAAATTAAGGTGTGTTTTGAATAAAATTAAAGTAACTAATTGATCCAACAATTTTATGCCTAATATTTAAAAGGGCACGTAAGAAATAGTGCGCGTAAGTCATAGTTTTGATTTATTTTTTTTAAAAGAGTCAATTCTATCTTACCCCCTTAACCTTTTAGTGTTGGGAAATAATACCCCCCCCACCTCTTGAATGGGAAAGAGAGCCCCCTTTAACTAAAGAATTAACAAGCATAATGAGAAAACTATCACCGGAAAACTCAACCAGCTTTTAAGATAACTAAATCAACTTTAAGAAACTTAATTACTTAACTTGGTTGTTATTAAACTGATTCAAATACATATAGTATATTTCATTTTATTTTGTGGATCTTGTTATCCTCAATATGCGAACATCTGGCTCCAATGACGTTCCAAATTCTTTTGTGCCAACTAATAAAGGTTGACGAAAATAGATTTAAGTTATGGTGCTGCTTAATCTCATAAATATTCACGAAATCGATGTGTGGCACCAACTAGTAGCTAGTATAGCTTTGAGTTATTGTAGTAAAATACAATGTTCACAGACCAGTAATGGGTTAAATATTATTTTAGTTTAATTTATCTTCTCGTTAGTTACTTTGCTACAGATAACTCTGCGCGCACCATAAAAAGGAGAATTCGACTTTGTTTTTTTCATATGCTTTGATATTGGCATCAAACAAGCTTAGCTCAAATTGATATTAGCCATAATTGTTGAATAATGAAGAATAAAGGTTACTTGCGAGATACAACTTAATGTAAGTTACTTTTGATATTTGATCTTTTTCCTTTGTCCAATCTATTAACATCGGATTACATGCCTATTGTATTATTCATATTTGTAGGTTGATGGTTATTATCATGACATTAACTAAAAAAAGCATTAAATTGGTTAAGACGTGATGACACCTGAGTTTTCTCCTCCGAACAAGGATTGTTATATTATTTTGTAAATTTTGGTGAACCATTTTTTTCATTTCGTTGGTTGTCTTTTGGGTCAAAGGGGGTTCCCCTTTGTTGATGATCCAAAGGGTCATCACCTATTTCCTCATCCATTCGTGCTTTCGAGGCCTTAAAACGCTCATATTTTTTGCTTGCCTCGATTTGCGTGCGCAGTCTGGGCGCGTAGACCGGAAAGCTTTTTATGTTGAAATATGTGAATTCCGTGAAAAATTAGAAGAATTTTGATATTAATATAGTTATAGTTGACTTTGGTCAAGCATTTTTGGTAAACGGACCCGGACCCTAGATTGGACGGTCCCGGAAGGTCCGTAGAAAAATATGGGACTCCGGGCATGTGCGCCAGAATCGAATTCCGAGGTCTAGAGCCCGAGATACTGAATTTTTCCGTGAAATTATTTTATCTGAAATTATTAAGGAAAATGGAAAATGAAAATTGATAAAAGACTATCTGTATGCAGGCTCGTATTTTGGTTCCGCGCCCGGTACAAGGTCTTAAATATTGTGGTAAGCACTTTCGTGAAGTTTGGTCGAAATCGGACGTCATTTGACGTGTTTCGGACCTAAATATCTAAAGTTTGAAGTTTATGAAGTTATAATGACAAATCATGTGCTTTGAGGCTTCATCATTCTATGTAAATGATGTTATTTTGGCGATTTGATCGCACGAGCAAGTCCGTAGGATGTTTTTGAGGTGTTAGTGCGTGTTTTGTTTGGAGCACCCGAGGCTCGAGTGAGTTTTTGGATAGGCATCGGATTGGCATTTCTCAATCATTTTTAAAAAACTGGTATGTTGGCTTTTGTGAGTTTTCGCAAAATGCGAAAGGGAGACTCGCAAATTGCGAGGCTCGCAAATGCGAGCTTCCAGTCGCAATTGCGAGGTCTGGGCAATTACGCGACAGGTCGCAAAATGCGAGAATTTTGCTCGCAAATGCGAGCAGGCCACTGAGTCGCGAAAATGCGATGGCATTTTCGCAAAATGCGAAAGCCTGGCCTCCAGACCCGAGTTTGCAAAATGCGATCCCTGTGGTCGCAATTCCCCAAAAGCCTGTGATGTTCGGCAAATGCGAACTTACCTTCGCGATTTCCATATCTGAGGCCCAGCAAATTTTAATACTTCAGTCGAATTTTTCACCACTTTTCACCATTCTTTTCAAAAACCCAACACCATAGGCGAATTTTCAAGAGCAAACTTCATCCCAAATCACTAGTGAGTTGATTTTTACTCAATTCTTTCAATCTTTAACAATCATTAAACATGTTTTTCCACTTGAAATCAAAGAATTTTCATGGGTGAAAATTGGGATTTTTGGGTAGAACCTAGGTTTTCTAATAAAATTGGGGAGCTGGACCTCAAATTTGAGGTCCGAAGTTGTTTAAAACAAATTATATATTTGAAACTCGTGGGGAATGGGTAAAAAAGACCATATTTTGGTTCTGAAACCTCGAGTTTTGACAGGTGGGACCCGGGGGGCGATTTTGGAATTTTTTGGAAAAAAACTTTGGAAGAACTCATTTTTTAATGCATTCAAATTGATTCAATATAATGTTTATTAAAGTAATTGAGAATGTGGTGATTAGGATTCGACGCGAATGGAGGTGGAACCGCGCGAGTAAAAGCAATAGTTGAGGATTAAGTGATTTACAAGAGCTTTGAGGTAAGTGTTTGGTTTAAACCCTAGCTTAGAGGGAATAACGGAGTTGAGTCTTGCATTGCTAATGACTGCTATGAGTGAATCGAGGTACGGTCATATATGTATGGAGTGACGAGATACGCTATACATTGGTGTCTAGCATGACGTGTTAGAGTACCTTAAAATCGGCGATTATTCATCGAACTTGATTGTGATTCGATGTGTTATTGGAGTATTTCTATATTGTTGTGAACATACATGTTTGGAATGGATGATAATGATAATTTTGATTCCTAAGGAGGCATGGATCGAATTGTGAATAGCGAAATATTGAAAGTAGTAATGAAATGCTTGTTTCGATTAAGGAGCGCGTCGCCTCCAGTTGTGTGGAGACCGAATTGTGAAGTAAAAAGTGTAGAAAGAGAAGAGTATCATTATGTGCTTGGCCGCTCTCTTTGACGGCTATTGTTGGGCTTTGGTGATTCCATTGCATTGTGTTTCATTGACCGGACTACTACGGGTCCGCTTAGGTGAATGTTTCTTGTGGTCGTGGGATGGACTATAGTTATAGTCTGAAGTGGTTAAGTATGTAATGCGGTTTAGTTATAGATGGGGTGGGTTAGGCTGAGGTATAATCGGGTTAGATATAGCTCGCGATGGTTAAGTGAGTGGTAATATGGTTTGATCTCATACGAGTCGCAGCTGCTGCGTGCGTTCAGAACTGATTGGGGTCAGACTAATGTGGGTTAGTGTAATCCCCGTATGCCGAGGAATATTTGATGATTGATGGGTTTTTGTCCCGCTTAACTAGGAGAAAGTCGTCTATAGATTGTTGTTTGTGAACGGAATATGAGATAAGAAATTTTCTTGGGAGCTTGGGCTACACAGTGATAATCGTGAGATAAAAGAAAGTAAAAGAAAGAGAAAAGCGTTGTTGATTATTCCCCTTGCTGCCGCGTACTGCCTTCTAGTTGAACTTGTTGGATTCCTTTCCACCTCGGCCCCCGGACGACTGTTTTCGCGCTCCAAATATTTGGCTTATTTTATGCC